CAATACTTTGGCTGGGGGGTGGGAGTTTCAACCAGCTATATTAAGCAATGACTGTAGATTCTTGACGGGTCAACTGTGTAAAAAAAACAATTTGTATTGAATATCTTGTGATTAGGTTCGCAGGTAGCCTTTTACGCAGACGTTCTTAGTGCCTAACGCACCTTTTCCCTCCCCACGAGTTAAACATTGCGTAATAGACATTAAGAACGTATGTGAAGGAGGCTAGTTTGCAGTTGGTTTGATTGTGGTTTGTGAAACCCCCCACACTCCTAGATCCTTGAGCTAGTGTCAATAATCCAGTGGTCACAAAAGGAAGGGTTTTTTACAAGTTTATTTTGATAACATCTTCATCAATCATCTATTCTACTATAAAGGCGAGTGTTTTACTACATTTTTACACTGAAAAGCTATCTTTCATAGATTATAGTTGAGAGATATTGAATTACTAATTGTGTTCAGTGGACATATAGGGTGTTGTAAAAAAAACGTCAAAAAATTCCATTAGCGTTTGATTCCGCGATTGTTTTCGTTCTCATTATTTGACGCAGTACTATTTGATTCCCAAGCGGACTTGAATATTTACGAAATCTTTAGATGTGAAGTTCAGATACTTTGCTTTTCAGGAGATCAGTTTGTTTTACAGGTCAATTTGACTGTTGTTGTCACGATTTTCAATAACTGTACTGAGTTCAAGTGAGGTTTGCTCAGCAGGTTGTTGCTTTGAAAGTAACAATCTTTTCGCTGCTTGTCGAAAATCGGGGAGAAATGTGATATAGAAATAAGGACTCAAACAGGAATTCAGAAGTACTAAGAAGTTAGTTATGAATAATAGCAGCCCTAAGCCTTTGCAGCCTAGACCAAACGTTTCATACGAAAAACCGTTAAGTGAAATTTCGAAAAAGTAAGCAAGCCAGAACAGTGATGGAGAATAGCAACAGCCGTAGAGTAATATGGAACAGACTACCATCCTGACCGCGTTCGCTATATGCTTTGCACGTTTTTTTCTCTGAACATCAGGGAGGTTGGCTTGAACGGCTGGCGTTCTTCTCAATCGTAATGATGTCAAAATGCATAGTAAAATAACGAAAGAAAATGACGAAACGAGAGTGATGGACATCGTTATCATCACAATTTCATATATTGTAGTATATGCCATAAATTCGCAAACATATATTCCATGTCGTAAGTGTATTTCAGTAGTAAAGAAAATCGATATGTTTGATGCCACTGCAAATCCCCATGTGCAAGTCACTGTAGCAACTCGTTGTCTCATTGTATAAGGACGTAGTCTCAGGGCAGCTCCCCTTGTGGCTCTGTATCGCCCAATACTGATTATAACCAACGTTAGCAGACTGACTGCCCTGGATGCAAATTCCAAAATCTTTACAACCTTACACAAGTTCCTGGCAGTTGCAATATTCGGAAAAATCCACCAGGCATATTTGTTGAGAAGAGCAGGAACATTTTGAAGGGTATAAAGTAAGATGACAAGTGTATCTGAAACAGCCATATTGACGATCAAGTGATGGAGATTCTTTTGTTTCGTGTATAGCACAGCGATTAAGATAACCAGGACATTTCCAAAAATACCAAATCCTGCAAGAATCATTATGACCATCACTTTAACTGTTCGTATCATAACAGAGTCTCCGGGACATGCAAGATCATCTTGAGTGAAATTCGATGAAGCATTCATGTTTTGTCTCAAAACTTGGTTCAGCTTTTTCTTCCAGTAGAATTCAATGCTTCCAGTGAATTTCCTTTGAACGTCGCTAGTTTAGTACCCTTTTCTCCTGGCAATAAACCTAAATAACTTAGGATTTCAAAAATTGCAAAAAAAAAGGTTGGTATTCAAGAGGCGCCCTTTTTTGATTCCAGTTAGAATAATGTTGCTGAAATGTGTCGTCTACCTTCAGAACTTCACTTTTGATCATATTATGTATAAAGCAGGTGTTTCGGCTTCAGTTGTTTAATATTAATTGTCTTAGATTTAATTTAGTTGATTTTATCCTGACAACTTACGTTGTAAACATGACAAAAGACGAGTCCTTAAAGAACAGCAATGTCCGTGGGATTATCATATTAAAACCTTGAAAAATACTTATTGTATTTGATTTTCATTAAAGCTTTGTTTTGTTTTGAGTTTGCAATTAAGTTCTATTTGTTTTCTGGCAATGCTTGGATTTTAGATTAATAAATACACTTTCAGTTGTTAGTATGTTATAAAGTTAGGAGTTATTTATTTTGTTAAAAATATATTGAATATATATCTAACACTGAAATAATGGGACTGAAGGAGAAGAATCAATGTCTAGCATCAATGATTTAAAAAAGTTGTTTTTCTTCAAGGGACAGAGTTTTTTTTCTTCATCTTAATAACATTTTTTAAATTTGATTCCGATATTTTTCGCGTCTTTCTGTATTATTTCACTCTGAAAAAGAGCCGTCCATTATATTATTCATTTTTTTWAAAGTACTTATAAAGTTTTTGTGTATTTGTATTTGCAATAAGTTTGATGAAGTTGTCACCAGAATTGACAATTCTTGGAACTCTTAGCCTCGCTTCTGAGGTAGTTAAACAAGTTAAGCAAGTGACTAGATTCGAGGCTAAGGACTTTATATGCTTGGTGCAGGCAGCCAGCATCCACTGCAACACTGTATTCGTCAGTATGCTGAGCTGAGAGTTTGTGTAGCACCTTTGACGTGATATTTATTAGTTTCGTTGGTTTTATTGAATTTTACTTATGTTTTACTATTGTTTTGTCTTTCCAGTCGACAGGAGAAAGAAGCGAAGTTAGTTGTGGCTGGTGTTTATTAAAGTTATTTGAAGAGACAGGAGTGCCGGCTTCTAACAAGTAAGCAGATGCTTTGATTTTAATGGTCTAAAATTTTGAAGATTGCAAGGTTTTCCTTTTGCAGTGGAAATATTTTGTTAAAAGCGTCAGCTTTCATGATTTTCAAAATATTTGGTAATTAAAGCCTGAAACCTTTAGTTCAATGGCTAGCCTTGCTTGAAGATTTTTTCCCCATTTTTCATAGAAACTACGAATTGCTGGTCAATGGTGGTACACCCTTTGAAGAGAATCGCATAGGTTTGGATGACTCCATCAGTGTCAAAGGTTTGCCCACCTTACTGTCTAAAGCTACCGACTGTTCCGTCCTCATCAAAACTTTACATCTCGTATTGCCAAATGAAAACATAATTTCAAATCGTGCACCATAAGTCTACGTCAATTGCAATAGGATTTGGCCTGTTTCTTTGTCAGCCCAGAGAAACCATATAAATTGATTAAAAGTAACACTAATTATTAATTTTGTTTATCAGAGAGTGCGAATCGATTGCAGTCCATTATCCACACCAATCAACAGCCACGACTTGTCGTTAAACTGACGTCATATAACAAAGCAACCAAAGACTTGCATGAGTAAGTTAAACCAATAGAAAGGCTTGAATATGTCATTGATGATTCTATTTGTTCTGCTGTTGTTTTTGGGGGTGTGTGGGYGTAAATATCTGAAAACCTCCCGACCTTCCCTCATGAATTCCAATCCCTTGAGTTAGAGGTTAATTAAACAAAATAAGTGTGGTATTACTTAACCCGTGAAATAGTATAAACTAATTGGGTTAGTAGATCCTCTTTCTATTATTCTTTCTTCTGTTGCACAAATCATTTTTTTAGAACAAATAAAAGTTGTTTCACGGCTTAAAGAAAGTGACTCTACACTCGAGATCTTTACTCTCTTTTGTACTCCAGTAATCATGCGTTTTTGTACTTTCCAGTGCTCTACCTCAGACCTTGTTGACGTGCCATCAATACGTGCAGTTTATAGCTCAGTACAGACAACTAACAGCAGAAACATTGCTTAGTGAAGGCACAGATCCTTACACAGCAGGTTTGTTGTGGTTGGTCCAATTTAAATCATCCAAATGTTTAGGGATTTTCCTGATGAATCCAGCATCAAAACTCCAATGTTTTTTGCGTCCGTCAATCGAACATTAGCCTCTTACGCAGAGGGTTTTCGTGTCTGTCACGTGACAGACGCTAAGAACGTCTGCATAAGAGGCTAATTGAACATGAGCTTTCAAGGGAAGTGGCCAAATACACAAGTTATTTATTTGGGTCAATACTTCCGATAAACACTGAACTGGAAAGCTTGAGAATCTAGTTACTTCTAGAGATTTTCTCTTGCAGRCAGACAGACAGACAGACATATTTTATTTGGCGTTTTGTACAAAGTTGCACATCAACTTAGATCCAAATAAGTTACGAATATATACGTATGTTTATGTATGTGCATAATATCATCTTGCATGTTGTTCAGTTTTGTAGAGTATGGCGAAATTCCATATCTGTTTTCGTATGACCCACAAAAACGGGTTGCTATTTTACTCCTTTTTTAAACCATATCCGGCTCTAGATGTTTAGGAACATTTGTCCTGCTGGCCAGGGCCGTAACCAGGGGAGAGCACAGGGTGTACATGCACCCCCCCCCCCCGCCCCAATAAAAGCTTAAGGTCCGCTCGTCTATCTCCTTTTGCTTTAAAATTTCATGTAAATGTTTTTTTTATTAAATCAAGACCACTTTCCATCTGGATATTGTAGCATTTTTAAGAATCACTCATCCATTATCCCCTTTTTTCTTTTTCTTTTTTTTCCCCTTTTTTTGGTTCTGCTTATTTTGTTTTGATTTCCCCCCCCCCTTTTTGTTTTGTTTTGTTTTGGTTCTGCAAGTCATTGCCTGTGCACCTCCCCTGCAAGATCCCTGGTTACTCCTCTGCTGGCTGGCATCCGTTCCCCATACTTAAGGTTCGCAGTAATAATCGAAAATGTTTCAATTATTCTGAAGTGTTTTTCCTGGTATACAGAGCTGATAGCAGATCCCGTCATCTCGACGTTTCCTTCTGTTCTACGTACTCCTGATATAATGGATGCACTAAAGGTAAATTATTTGATTTTTGTTCAGTCTTCCTTACCCTTCTCTACGATCTTATACCTGTCATGTATTTACATAACATCGACTATCCAACTGCAAACCTTCCCCTATAGATAATAACATAACGCCAACACCAGGGGAAAACGTTTGCGCATGCGTGCACTTCAGCACGTTGGCTAAGAATTTTGAAGAGTTTGAGTGAGAAAATAAATGTTTGTTTTCTCAAAGTATACAAAAAAGTTCGAGTATACTTTTGTCAGACCACGATACTGTATTAACAAACACAATATGAAAGAATTAGTCTTAAGTTTCAAGCATGGACACTAAGTTTTGACATTTTGTGAAGTCCAATTCATAAGGCATGTTTGAAAGTCAAATTTACTTATATTTTGACTAATTTGCATACGGATTCAAAGCATGCGCAGACGTTTTTCACTCCTGTCCATAATGTCATGCATTCATCTATTCTCACAGAAACGTTGGGATGAAAGAAATAAAAGAGAATTGAAGCGATCTCAAAGGGTAAGACCATCACCTGCGGGACACGGCAATCTTTCTTGCTTATTTTAGAAATATCAAACAAAAGTTAGCAACAGATTGTGTTGAAGAGTCCATTATAAATATTGTAAAGACGCATTAAAGTGTACATCAAGGACAATTTTTTCTTTCAAAATCAGTTATACGTAAATAGTGTAGTATGGTTACAGTATTTTCCCCCCTAGATATACACACTGCCCTTGCATTGTTTACTGTATCCATATTTTCATTTACTGTATCCATAATCTATAATTGCAACACTTACTGTTTGTTTTTCAGCGAGTTGCATCAGTCATGAAGAACTTTTTTCGCGAGGTTTACATGGATAGTGTGTATCCTCTTATTAACACCGCTCAATTGCCGCCCTTCATATGGGGCGACTCACAGAGAGAAATGGTATGTACCTATAACTCGCTGGCTTTCACGAGCTTTTAGTTTGAAAGCCTTTAGAAGCTGCAATCATAAATGTTGGATTCCCAAAAATGCTGTAACTAGTATAGCTGGAAAAAAGTCCTCATTTTAAACATTTAAACGTCCTTTGAAGTGTTGTTGCTTTCAAAATTTATATTTACCAAATTTTATTTTGCTCCGATAATGGTAGGCTATCTTACTCTACGGTCTGTGTCAACTCGAGTGAGAGGATCTTCGGTGGCAGCCTATGCTACTTCTAATGTAATTAAAGATAATGTTGTTGATTTACTCAAATAATACATCGAATGTATTTTTGTTAATCATTCAGGAGCGTCTTCGAGTAATTCTAGACTTCGGTGCTCATCCAACCCTCGAGAATCTGTTTTCCAACGAACGTCTTCACAAACCCTTCAACATCGACAGAATCACATTCAACGTGGTATCCAAGTACACTATTATGTAAATTAAACACAAAGATAATAAGAATCTGATAGACAGTGTTTTTTAGCATTTTAAACCACACATTTTAATCTCCAGCTTTAGATGGTTGAAAAGTTTTAATATTTATGGGATTGTGTAGATTGAAAATTGTACAATAAGTATATCTTAGACTGTAATATATATATTTCTATGATATTTATATTGTCACAATATATTAATATATTTATATTTATAAATAAAATATTAAAACAGCAACTATCAGTCCTGTGCATGCTTTCCTTATTATGTAAAATGTATTTTAGAGTTTCTTAATATTGAGACATTTTTCTTAGTAACCAGAAACCAAGTGGTAATTGTAGTAGGGTCTAAGGCTGGAAGCAAAAAAATACGACCCCC